GGGGAAGGCTATAAATTGACTTAAAGTTCTGATTTAAGAAAATGAATACTTTCAACTATTAACACGCGTTAGAGATTTAAAGCAGATAATCAAAAACAGATAATTCAATACCAAGTTGGATGATTTCATCAAAGGAAAAAAATAACCTATAACAAAGGGACTAGATCCTAAAAGAAATAATCAGATAATGATATGGGAGTAGAATAGACAAGGTTTGCTAGGATGTGTGTGAACTTTGAATAACTACAAGTGTTATATCAAAGAGTCAATTAACGTAGAGACATAACCCTTATAAATGAAGAGGAAGGACTCAATCTAGTCAATCTGTAAAGGGAATTTCACAAGGAAAAGCCCAGTGATGCTTATACAGGAATTACAGTGAATTTATTAACTTCAGAAAACTCAATTCTTATTTAAAATGGCCTGCCCTGCCACACGCATCAATACTGTATGCCCTGGTGTTATGAAACGGGCCACCATGAGTTTCCAAGTGGCACCTTGTGATAGGAGGCTAGACAGACATGACGTGACTAACCTCAGACTGTGGGAATATTACTTCAGACAAATTTCTTAACGTCTCTGTGTTTTTGGTTTCTTATTCCTATTCCATAAGGTTTTGGTGACACCTAAGAACTTAATACATGTTCTTAAACCCCCAGACTTGTGCTTGGCTCCAACAATGACTACGTAAGTCAGCTGCTGCTGCTGCTGCTGCTTCTGCTTCTGCTGCTCCTGCTTCTTACCATCATTTAGCAGCAGGGTAAAAAGAAACCCTTAGAGAAGGCATCTTTCATTTCCTTTAAGTGTCCAATCTCTTTGGAGAAAGTAGTGCAGAGTAGCGTTAAGTTTTGTTATTAGCACTGAGGAAGGGCCATTGCTGCCGTCTGTACTTTCTGGCCTCTGTGGGAGTGTGGGCGGGCAGAAGGGTGGTAAAGGCAATGAGCTTGGAGACACACCAAGGACAGCATTAAGGTCTAAATTGTGGCAGTGTGCTCTGGAAAGCTGGTTTACAAGCTACTGGAAGATTGTCTTGCCAGGAAAATCTCCTTTAAAAAAACATGTTGGCCGCAGCCAACATGAAGACACCACCAGAAACAAGTCTATTAACTATCAGGAGGCATCACCAGTCCCTCTCACAGCAAGCTTCAAATCCTTCGGGGACTCCAAACGAAACTAACATTTTTCAGTATTCTAAAATGTATTGTAGGGGGCTGGAGAGATGGCTCAGTGGTTAAGAGTGCTAACTGAGGTCCTGGGTTCAATTCCAAGCCACCCACAAGGAAGCTCACAATTGCCTATAACTCCAGTTCCAGGGGATCTGACCCCTTCACACCAATGCACATAAAATAAAGTTAAGTAATTTTTTTAAGTGTGTTATGTTCAGGAATATCAGTGAAATGCCTTGAAACAGGTCCAGACAGACAGCAAAAGACTAGATGAATGTCTGCTATGTCAAGCCCTAGTTCACCAACTAATTCATTTCCAAATGAACTAATGTAGCTAATAACAGATTTCTGGGGACTGGTGAGGTGGGTCAGCAACCAAAACCTCTTTCGAAGGACTGAAGTTTAGTTCCCAGCACCCAGGTTACATGGCTCACAGCCACCTGTAACTCCAGCTCTGGATACACAACCCTCTCCTAGTCTCTATAGGCACCCACACACACACACACACACACACACACACACACACACACTCACACAAAGAGACATACACTTTTACTCCTATTTCTGGCAGAACACATGATACTTAGGAGAGTTTTTAAGTTCTCTATGAAAAAAAATGAATGAAATCATCAAATATTTTAACATGAAGATTAAAGACAGATTGCCCGTATGATAAAATAAGCCATCAAAAGAAGAAAGTGATGCTCTGAACAACCATTTACAGACTACTTTAATTTCCTAATATCTACTCCCTGCCAATTAATTATTAAGCCAATGAAAATTCCCCATCACCACAGCCCTCCATCTACCTCTACAGGGTCAATGATGTCCTTCCATGACAACGCTGGCCACCGAGGTTCAAGAAGACATTTTCTGAGAAAAATTCTGGCTCTAGAGAAAAAATTATGAAAAGCCAAAAGCTTCCCCTCCTCCACCTACAGTCATATTCAAGAATTCAGGCTCCCAAGGTCTAGGGATAGCCATCTTGAAACCACAAGATATCAAAGCCTTCGAATGACAGGATACGTAATTTCATAAGAGCCGATGAGTCAGCCAATGACATTACTGTTGCTTGAACTATTAAATGTCCTTAGTCTTAGAGCCAGTTTTACATTTGTTAAAGTATCCTAATTTACAGGGCTTACTCCCCAAGTCTATCACAGTGATTGACAGTACATACCCATAGACAAGACAAAATCCAACCCAGTGACTAATAGAGCCACAGTGACTAATAGAGCCAAGCCAAAATCCAACCCAGTCTTGTTAAAGCAAACCAGTCATTGACAGTTACAAAGAGATACTCTAATACTTTTCAAAGAACTTCTACATATTTTCTTTAAAATATTTAGCAACAAAGGAGATAAATAATAATATGTTATAGAAACATCAGGCAATTTGGTTTACTTTTAGAGCCCACTTAGCTATAGGCAACATGACTTCTTGAGGTACAAGAGTCTATAACTTCATGGAATCTAAAATATTGATCATGTTTAAATGATTTAAAGCATCACTCACTGAAGGAAGAAAGATAATGTTTTTGATGTGGTTGAATTTAGCTTAAAAAAAAAACTTTAAGTCAGGTGTAGTGACACACCCTAATCCTAGCACTCAAGAAGCTAAAGTGGAAAGACCACAAGTCTAAGGAGGGCCTGAGCTGCAGCCCTGAGAAACAGTCCCAGAAAAAAAAATAAAGCCAGAGTATACCCTCTAAAGCTAAGGCTCCAGCTCAGTGTTCAGACTTCCGTAGAACAAACACATAGTACTAAATCCAGTTGCCCAACAATGTCCAAACTGGGAAGGGGAACAAAAGGAACCCTTGATCTGAGACAGCCTTGATAATTCTCTCAGCCAGGAAGATGGTTCAGCGGGTGAAATGCTTGCCTCACAAATGTTAAGACCTAAGTTTGGATCCCCGGAACCCAAGTTCAACGAGGTAGTGTAGATACAATCCCAGCACCCAGGGGAGATAGGATGCTGGAGATAAGTCCCCCAGAATCCAAGTGCACAGTAGCTGTGACAAACAAAGAAAACCCATCTCAAACAAGGTCTCATCTGACCTCTACATATACACCACGGCAAGCATGCGCTGCACTACACACACACACACACACACACACACACACACACACACACACGTGCACACACGTGTGACATACAAAAAGAGCGGACTGGCCAGCTTGAAGAGAGACCAAAATTGTTTATCTTGTCCATTTATGACATTCCCAGCTTTGGCAGACTGTATAAACTGCTAAAATACAAATGAAGACGTCTCTGGGAAGCAGTGATTTTACAGCATCAGCAAGGTGAGATGGCAATAAAAGGCGTTAGTAACAGCTGTTGACTGGAATAACCAGTCATACAAAGTAGAAGGGGCAGGAGGGGAGGAGCAAGGACAAAACCAGGGAGCCCGTACATGAAGGTCACACACTAACACACGGGCAGACCAGTGGTCACACGAAGCACCATTGTAACATTTGTGAGATTGCTCTGTGACTCAAAGAATGCACGTTTAAAATGAAAAGGCTCCTGTGTTCCCCAACAGAATGCACTCTGTTGTAGAACATGGGCACTGCCTCCACACACCTTAGGTGAACAGTGCAGCGGTTCTTTTAAGGGTAACTCAAACCACAGGCGCACTATCAATTTAAGTGGGGTCTGAAAAACTAATGTACAAACGTGTGTTTGTGTGTGTGTGTATGTGTGTGTTCAGGGTAGCATGCCCTAGTGGCACAGGGCATATGACTGCACCTCGGGAGGATACAACAAATGAACAAGCTCTACCACACAGAGGACGACAAAGATGGTTTTCTCTAATTGGAAGACATTACTTGGAACCTTGGGATTTCTCCTTGCTAACTGGCAGAGCTGTAGTCCCGACAGACCAGCAATGAAGGACACAGTAGTATTCCTGGAGCCAAGAATGTGTGTGATTTCCTACCTAAAATTAGCCATGCCTGTTTCACCATAGCTGGGCTGGGCTCCTCTATTTTAAGGTGTGCAGCGCCAAATTACTTAAGTGTATATAATTGCTGACTAATCTTAGGACTAAGAGTGTCAGCGACTTCCCACCCAGGCTTCGGGATGGCTAACCGGTCCCCACAAAACCCCACGCTTACCGGCCTTGCCATTTAGGGGGCTAAGCATACTGCTAATGAGCCATGTAATAAAAAACACCCATGCAGATATAGCAGAGAGAGATGCTCCCTTTCCTTTGACTGGTACTCTACCCCCAAATACGCGCACGCTATGGCAAATGCACAAACAAGAACAACAAAAATAGACAAAGGTTACAATACATTAAAAAGCTAGTGCTTGTTTTTCTGGAAAATTGTCTAGAACCCCACAACAAAAACCTTCCAAGTCTAAAGTCAAGTCACACACGTTTACCTCCCCAAGTTCTGTGCAGCTGGAATAAAACTAAGAGAAGGAACTACATAGCCTACACGGGGCATTCCAGAGACATCAGAAGGGCCTGGGGAAGGCCCTGTGAGTACTACCGGGGGGATTTATTATTGTTTTTCTTTAATGGAGCTGATTTTTCCAGCACACACATGAAAATGAAAAGGCATGCCTTCTTACCACGGACAAGGGTGGTTTTGTCAACAGGGAGCAAAATTGAGTTCTGAGTTGAAATCCTGTAAGTGCAGAGATATCAGGCCTGATTCCTGCAAGCCCAGAGCAAAGGCCTCAGATCTATTTTATTACCAGCAATTTGAGATCCTGGAACAGACACCAGGCACAATCAGGCTCCAGCAAAAGGCGGCACTGGCGCTTGTTGTGACACACTCGTGTACGTTAGTAAGAGAACACACACACACACACACACACACGTACCTTCATTTTCAGAGACACGGCACTTCACTTTCAAGACCAAGTCAAAAGTTCTTTCCGGGTTTTCCCTGAAACAGAATGTATCTTGTTACATTGACTCTGTACACAGCAAGGAAGCATGATCTCTACAGCTTCATCCACACAAGCGTGTGCCACTTGTGGTGCTGAGGAGGGAACCCAGGGTCTGTTCATGCCAAGGAAGAGCTCCATCCCTGTATTGACTGAACTCTAATCCTGTCCCTGCTCTGCTGCAGAAGATTCTATGACCCCCCCCCAACCCGACTGTTTAGCAGAAATAAAAAATGAGAATGTCTTATCGGTTTGATATGATAAAGTTCAGACTCTGGCGCTCTGGATCTGGGGGCAAAGTATTTCACGAATCTCTGAGATCGCTGCCTCTCCTATAATGGACCCCGCCTACTTCACAGAGCGACTATTGAGGATTAGACATCAAATTCATGTGTGGAAGCTCCTTAGAGAGTAGAAGTTTTCATCTTACTGACTCAAAAAGCAGAAAGCCAGTTCATGCTATCTATCTAATGCTTTCTCCTGAGACCCTGCTGTGGGTGTGAAGGGTGAGGCCCCAATCCCACCAGCCAGTTCTAGACACTACCACGGAAAAACGGGCCACAGATAGGATACTTTGCACCTGCTTTTCCTGGGTGTTACTTATCGTAGTTAAAACATGTCTAAAGTAGGAAGCTGTTCACTCACTCCAAGCTAAATATATATATATATATATATATATATATATATATATATATATTCTTTATAGCCAATTATCTTTAAGGAATTTGGACATTTGCCTCCTCATTAAACCCCTCACCAAGTACAGAAAATTTGCTTCAACTTCCTTTAGAAGTTACTACTTTGGTATCTTTCTACCCCCCCCCCTAATTTTTTACACATTTAACCTATTTATTAAATTTCAGAAAGCTGTGGGCTGGAATCTACTGAGATACTTAAACCAAAGGAAAAGTGTGCTACTGTAATGTCTCTTTTCCACTAAAAGGTGTGAGAGTTAAGTCTGGGGGGGGGGGCATGGGGCATGGTATCTATCTGCCCTAGGGTGAGTGCCTGAAGCCTTGGGTTTGGCTGTGATGGGAGGGGGAGGCCAGGGGAGCTGTTAAAGGCAAAGACATCACACGTGGAAAAGTGATGAGACATACTCCAGCTACTTCTGCTATGGCTACTGCGTCTGAAGGAAACATTGGCTGTGGCTCTTTTAATATATACCTTCCTCGAGATAAGAATGCTACTTCTTAAATAAACATTATATATATATATATATATGCATGTATGTATGTATGTATATGTACATATACATCATGGCATGTCATTTAGAACCAGAGGGAGAGACCAGCCATATAAATTAATTTACAAACATGCACTTCCTCATCCCCACCACCCACTGTTAATTTTGTTTCATGGGCATTAAATGGGCCCCAGTGAACTTCTTTTTAATCCCTTCATAATACAATCAATTGTCCACAAATTGTGTTGGCTTTTCTGTTTTGTTTTTTCCACTCACCCAGCCCAGGAAAAGAACCCAAACAGTGACCCTTGAGTCAGTTAGTTCTGCTTCTCTCCACTCAAAGGGGCCCGGGGCACCACAAACGCACAGAGGGAGGAGACGGTGAATGAAAGGCTCAGGATTTCTCCCCCAAAAGTAAACTTTGGAAAGGGAGAGGGGGGGGAGCAGCCACGGGCCGCGAAGGCACCGTTACTCCCCTTTGCCCCGGGCCCCCAGTGCGCTCCCCGCCGTGCAAGCGGCACGGGCGGAGCGGCTGCGCGCTCACCGGGCGCTTTCGTTTCCTGCAGACCGGGGAGCATCCCCAGGCCAGGCTGGGGGAGCAAAGGCGAGCGGCTTCCTAACCAGGGCTCGCCCAGCCGCCCGCACGGCCGGCCGGGGACGCCATGGTCACCGCCCGGGCCGGCTTTGCGGCCTAGCGCCAGCAGCCGGCCGGCCGTAGCGGGCGGGCGTTGCTGCACCCGGGCCCCCGCCGCCGCTCACCTGGTCCTGCGGTCCATGGTCACATGTCGCTGCGGGGCCGCCGTCGCCCCGCTCGCCCGTCCGCCCGCTCGCCCGGCCCGGGACGCGGCCTCGCGGGGACAGCGCCGCGGCGACGCCGCCCCCACCCCCGCCTCCCGGTTCCCGCGACCCGGCCGGCGGCCGGCGGCGGCGGAGGAGGAGGAGGAGGGGGAGGAGGAGGAGGCTCGGCCGCCGCTGCGAACCAGGAAGTCGCCGGGAGCTGGAGGGAGGGGTGGGGAGGGGAGGGGAGGGGCGCACGGGGACGCGCCCTGCGGCTGCACCGGGCCCCGCGGGCTGCCGTCCTGGGAAAGCACTTCTGCTGCTGCCAACCCCACCCGCACCCCGACCCGCGAGTCCCCAGATCGCGGCTCGCATTCCTTGCAAATGCACGGCTTCAAGTGCATGCTCCAGCTTCTGCCTCGCTCCAGCCGTGGCCCACACGGCTGCGCCCTCTGAGACCCGGGGCCGAGCCCACCCCAACCCGTCCTGACCCCCCCACCCCCACCCAACCACATACCCTCCCCCCTCACCCTCCCTCGTCCTGATTCAGGACGGTTCAGACTTCTAAAGCACCTGCTGAATGGCTCTGCCAAATAGCTCAGGGATGAGCTCAGGTTGCCTGCACATCTGGGAAACACGTTCCCGTGCTGACGCACAGCCAAACGCCTAACTTGTGAGCACACCACACAGAGGCTGCCACCACCACCACCACCACCTCCACCCCCTCCACACCCCCCTCACTGTCACCACGGAGAATGGAGGAGGTGCGACCTGGGTGCCACAAGTCCAAAGCGTGCATGCGTGCGTGCATTGTGCCCAGCAGTGATAAACTCTGCCCCCACCCCCTCCCCCAGTACTGCTCCACACCTGAGCTATGTGGGTGCCCTAACACCACCTCACAGTGCAAAAAAGAAAGAAAGAAAAGAAAGGAAAAACCTGGGTAAAGCCTGGGTCTAACACAAGCAGAGGCAGTGGTGACTGGAAACCAAACCAAGCCCCTCTGCTCCTGGTTCTTGACTGGGGCTTTTTATTGCCTCTGCTGCTGCTGTCTCAAGTTTGGGGTCTGCAGAGAAGACGTTTAGAAAGATGTACGATGCACATTCATTGTCCAGGGCTAGAGACACTCCCGGGCCTGAGAAAGGCCTTCTCCTAGCTAGCATTCACCCTTGACAAGGCTAGAGCGTCATCTACCCGGGATTGCTCCACTCTGTATCCACACAGAAGGTACAAGAATGAGGAAATCAAATTGGGGTATAAATGAGTCATGAGACATTAAATTTCAGGCAAGGAGCCTTGGAAAACAAAGGGGAGATTTGGTCTTAAACTTTCTTGTCAAAAGCGATGTTGCCAACACAGCGACTTGGCAAGACATACTCCTCAGCCACAAACTTATTTAAAACTGAGATTCCCAATGTGACTGAGAAACTAAACAGAAAGGTACTATATTTGTGCATGCAGTGTTGTCATAACTTGACTTGGTGTGGGATGCTTCACTACTTCAGTTTCTCGCTTCCTGCGTTTGTAAAATGGGAATTGTTACTTGCACACCTAAAGTGCTGCATGCCACTTGGGAGAGAGACGTTTGGAGAAGTCATTCAGTGAGTTTCAATTTCACAACCAGGCTAGCTATACCATGCAGTTTTGATTTCTTTTTCCCATATAAAGCTTTTTTTTCCTACCTAAAAAGTTAGCATTCCAAAGACTTGAAATAAATCCTGCAAACCGAAAACCACTTCTGACCCAAGTGTTACTGAACCATGTGAGTTTCTTCTTTTGTTATAATTAATTCTTCTCCAAAGAAAGAACCCTGTGTAGGGTACCTGTGTCCTGAATTCTTAGTCCGGGCTGAGAAAACAGTAACAAAATGTAACAAGTGTTTTCACCATCCACTGTTGGTATTATGTAAAGTGATAGTCATACCTCTGTATATCATAAGGTAGCTACTTATTCAAAGTACATTTAGTGCATGAAAACAAAATTCCACGCTTGTAAACTCCCTGCCAATCCTTTTGCAATCACATACAAGGCCCAACTACAATGAAGAGTTTGGCATTACTGGGTTTAAGAAATAAACACAGATTGATACAATTTATATGCATAGTTTGTCAAAAATTACTGGAGCAAGGAGTTAGGATAAACCTATCGTGGCATGTTTGTTAAAACCAGTGGTATAATTTTGGTAATGCTTGCTTCATATAACACTTACAGTATCACTAATGGAGAAGCTAGCTTATAGAAGGCAAACTTTCAAACTTCTAGCTACATTTTCCCAAGAGCATACCTCAGCAATAATATTTCCTACTTGACAATAACATTTTTAGGATCATAGTAATTCGAGAACAAAGTGTATAATAGTGTTTATTGTCAAGGAGAGCATAACAACAGAACCAGGCTGTAGATCGGTAGTAGAGTACTTGCCTACGGTCCACAAGGTCCTGGCTTTATCCCCTTGAGAGGAAGGGGAGGAAAAAGACAAGTAAATTCTTCAGCCCATGGATGTGGTATTCAAAGAATATGATTTTGATGGTGAGTGTTTCGATGCCTATTAATTTTGTTTCTGCTTGACACAATTCAGTACTGGGAGAGGTAAACTAAGACACCTTCATTTGTCAACAGGACTATTTCAACTAGCAGTTCTGTCTTGTTCTTTCTTCCTTCCTTCCTTTCTTTCCTCCTAATCCTTGTGACCGAGTTATAATAGATATTCCACTGAGTCTGTCTAACAGAGTGAGCCATTTCCCATATTTGACTCTTTGCTTTCAATGTTTTTTGTTGTTGTTGTTGGTTTGTTTGCTTGTTCTAAATAGTGGTTTCCTGGCATTCATATAGCTAGCTCTTTTCATCATCCGTATACCTCTTTTCATCCTTTTATAGAGCACCTTTCTAAACCATTGTGTTTGGGGTTTACCTAGAGACATTCCTTCAATAACTCCTTGTGTTCAGTTTCCTCAAGCTACACCCGAATGGTCTCTGACTGATAGTTTCCACCTATTAGTACCGTGAAAGGAACCAAGTGTGAGTCATCTATTAAACCAGCCATACCCACCAACACAGAGGTAAGCATTTGCATGTTTTATCTATGTAGAAATAAAACTTATTAGTGCACTGGAGTACCTCCTGCCAGTCCCTGGAAGAAAGAAGGACACCGCTATGGACTGTCAAAGGTATTTAGAAAATAACTCCATTACTAATGCTTACAATAAGTATCTATTCTATCTGCTGATGAACTATACTTTTTCTGCCATTGAATGTATTCTCCACTCATTTCTCCTTTTCTATGACCCTTCTCTTTCTGTAATGGGCCTTTTTTCTTCTTTTTTTTTGGGGGGGGGGACTTTGTTTCTGATCTCTTTCCTACTCTAACCTATAGCTAGGAAGTAATGGACTCTCTATTCATTAACTAGGCCCATATTGGTTATGAGCCTCCTCTGTTTATATCCAAGTTTAAGGTTTCAGTACCCAGCGTAGAATCCAGTTTTTAGAGGGTACCCTGCTCATCAACTGTCTTTGGCACATTTCCAACTATTCATTTTCTAGGATCTAATTCTCCATGGTTTCCCTTTATTATTCTTAGGTTAAAATTATTAATAGAGTTCCAAACTTCATCTATTTTGAAGAAAAAACCTCTTTCAACAAAATACCCAACAAAGTCAAATTTCTTTTTAAAACATCACCTTAAAAATATTTCTTGACCGAAGAGGATGGCCCATGCCTTTAATCCTAACACCAGGGATTCAGAGACATCTGCAGAGGCAGAACTCTATGTGTTTGAGGCCAGGCAGACTACACAGTGAGACCTTGTTTCATTTTAATTTTTGTTTCCTAACTTGAGTTTTAATGTTCACTGAGACAGTGTTGACAGGGAAAAGATTCTTCTAGTGTTCCCTTCACACTCTCTCTGTAGCAGTACCATACATTTGAATCTAAAGGTGACGTCTCCTTCAACGTGACACGTATTCTTGAAATAGAAGCCAGACGTGAGGATGAAGGAGCAAAATCTTTGCCAAAACCATGTTTTCTGTGTTGATTCAAAGGTCAGGTTCAAAGGTATGTTCCAATTTGTAGATAAATTCAAATGGCAAATCATGTCTATGTAGCTCTTAACAAAAATATTCTCAAAAACGATGTACAGAACATCTTCTTTCCCCTTCTCCGAGCAATTTGCCCCGAGTCAGAAAATAAATTATCTTACCTCTGACCAGCTTCTGCTAGTTCACACTTGTCTTCATTCCTTAGCCTGCCAGACATTGGAAGACTCAAAGTAGTCCTCGAAGTAGGACCAGAAGATTGTTATCAGAGGACTTGGATTTTCGTCCGGGTCTCTGTGAAGCCTGCCCCAATCTTCACGAAGCAGTGAAATGTTTGTGTAACCCTGAGCATTGCATGGACAGCAAGCTCCTGACCCCACCCACGAGCTACTCCATGCAAATAAGGCATCATCATTGTGTCACAGCTCTGCTCACGCCCATGGAATGCTTCAATGAAATGAGTAATCGCATCCAAAGAGCAAAGTCATTCATTGCCTTAGTCGATGTAAAAGAAAAGTTCCTGCCTGCCAAGTTTTACTTTCCAAAAATACAATCACTCGATAAACATGACACGCATATCTACACATGAGCATCTCGGGGCATGGGGAGATGCAACATGCCAGCCGATAGAACTCAGTCAAATAAACGTCAGGGCAAAAAATACGAATCTACAGCCCAAGGTTCCTTGAAGAGTAAAGACAGTCGCAATCCCATCATGTTTAACAGGTACCTCCCTCATTTCCTTCTACTACAAATTACACATGATAAAAGTAAGCACAACCAGCGGTGGTCTTGGGTTCCAAAAGTATGGACATCACCTTATCTCCCTACTGTTGTCCGGTGTCACGGAACCACGACTTACCATTCTGGTAAGGTAGGAAAACCGCTTGTAACCTTCTGTGGGAAGGAAGGCAGGAGAAGCTATACAAGATCTTAATTTCACGTGGAAGCGTTTATTCTCTTTGCAAAAGGCACTGTCTTTCTTCATCCTCTATTCACAATGGAATGTTTTCTTGCCATCTCCTTGAGATGAGAAAATGGGTACAGGTGGGCCTGGCTAGAACGGAAGGAGGCTTTAGGGTTCATGAATCAGCCTGATATTAGAAACAGTCAACACGGT